GAAAAATGACGACATGATTATACAAAATGACAATAACGAACCGACAAAAAAATGATGGCACGATCCAGACAAAATGTCTGATCGTGAAGAGGGGTATTAAAGTCCCACAACGGAAATCTATAAAGTAATAAAATATTATATTAAAACATGAGTTACTCCTATCAAGTTGACCTTTTAGAATAAATTTTAAAAACGTTTTTAGGGATCGACACTCAGATTAAAGCAAATAAATAAAAAACTTATTTTAGTCTCAGTAAAACATGAGTTTTACTGTTTATGTAAGTTGAATCCTTGTACCTAAAAAATGTATCATGTATGTGTAATTTTACAATAATCATTCTTCGCGTATCCGAAATTTATATACATTTGACACACTATCTTGTTTACATGCACTACAAAAGTAATCAGGACCTGTACACATTCTGTGTATACTTTACACTTGCCTGTGTACGTAGATAATTGTTTAAGTTTTTTCTATATGAGATGTCTGTCTACACAGGAAAATGTGTCAAGTGTGTACAAATTATGTGTACAAATAGAATTTTCATTTTACAATAGTACATATGACAATGTTTATTTTTAATTCAATAATACGTAGTACGTTTTATTTATACACAAGCATGGTTCATTTATTTAATTGATATGTGTATATATTATGTGTGTGTCCTGGAATCATTAAACATTAATAGGAGGAAGAACATTTTAGTGTATAAAAAAAGCATAAAGAATTTAAAAATCTGATTCAAAAATCTGAAAATTTAGAAGAAGAATATTTTAGTATTTACATAAAGTATAAATAATTCATAAGAATATTTCGAGGCCATTTAATAGTTTATAATTTCAGTTTATCAGTCAACTTTTTTTATCAAACACATAACTTTTGATTTGAAACACTAAATTATATAGTAATCAAAATAAATATAATTGAAATTACTTTTTGATTGAATCGGTTTAATTTAGTATAGAAGATCATTTGAGTCATTTTTCATATAGTTTATTTTATTAATAAGATATGTAGTATATTTGTAATATAACCTTTCAAAATTTAATAAATTATGTCAATTCAGTCAATTTCAATACAAAAAAAGAGAGGCTTCTCTCTAATTTCCTTTACAAGCTTCAAAAGTCCACGCCCCTTTAAATTCTTGGTCTTGTAGTGAGGTAGTGTTTGTGGGAGTGGGAGTCACTTGTATATCACGGATTATGTTACATTAGCATTTTGCAAAAAAAAAAAAGGATGACACCCATCTCGAGCCCTCCAACTCCGACCGGACGGTACATTGGGAGGATGTAAATTGGACTATAATCCCAATCTGACAGATAGAGAATGTGGCTCTGTCCCCGGTACTTGCAGAGACCCTATGCATATTTTAGCATAGTAACCCCTCATCGTAGTTGCCGGAATTCGAACCCGGGACCTAACCCTTGTGGCACTCCCTCGCTACCAGTTGAGCTACGCCCACCGATATTACCATTTTGCAGTATTAGGTTAGCCAGCCAGCCTTGTTTGGTAATGGGGCAGATAACATAAATCTTCAGAAACCAATGTCATGATATATATATATAGAGAGAGAGAGAGAGTCCTTTGGGTATCCTTATTTTTTATTTTATCTGGCTTATCAACCTTTTTTTTTATCAAACACGTAACTAAGTAACTTTTGATAATAAAAAGTAAGATTGAACTTATTTTTCTGGTTATATAGGTTGAAGTTAACGTAAAAGATCATTTAACTATTTTTTATATAATTTTTTCTTTATTTTAATAGTAAAATATTATATATAATTTTTTTATAAATCAAAAAAATCAAACAATTCAATTAGTTCATTCAAAACTTTATAAATTTTAACAGAATCAATATATTCATTCCATTTCTGTACTACATGTTGATGTTATCAAACGGGCTCAGTGACCAACTAGTGATCAGAGGTTTTCGTAATTTCGTCCTCTCGATCATCTTGGGTCAAAACTTCCATCATTAGATCTCATCCAGCTAGCCAATTTTGGAGTTGTAGCTTTTATTTTCGGGTTATTTAGAGTTTGCACCCTGTTTTATACTCCTAATTAGCCTATGCACCCTAATTTTAAAATCCTTTGCCTTTACACCCTAAGTTAACCGGGTCTGTTAGTTAGACTCCTAAAAAAAACTAAATGGCATTAATACCCTCCTGGCAGATTCACAGAACAAACACATGGTTTTCCCAGTAAGCTCCCAGACATGTCCCAATCCGGTCCTTTATAAACAGAACCCAGAACACAATTCTCAGAACACAAAACTGAGAACAAAAACCAGACCTTCTCACCATCCTCACCTCTATTCTCACCAAAACTGAAAAAACAAAATATTTTTCTTTTTGGTAACATACAGAACAGATTAAAAATAGCTTATCTGCAATTTTTTTTTTCTTTTTCAAGAGAGCTCTTGAAAAAACAGACTATACATAAAGGAAAAATATAAGAACCTAATTAAAAACTAAGAAAGAAAAAACAGAGCATAAATTTGGTGTAGTGGTCCTATAATGTTGTTGAATAGTTACTAGTCAAAGTTTAATAAATATATACATCCAACCATAAATGAGTCATAAATGCTCATCCAACAATATGTAACCACCCATCCACATTACTCCCTATAAAAGCTTGTAATGTGAGGAGTAAATATGTATGTATTGCATCAAAATAATCGTAAGGCTGCACATGAAGGAGGAACAAGATTGTATAAGGTATGACTTTTGTTAAATTAATTTGTTCTTGCAAAAAAGTATAACATATTCTCTATTGTTTAGTGTTTTCATTGTGGAGAACAAGGTCATTGGGCGAAGGCATGCACCTATAAACACATACCTTGTACAAAGGGCTGCCCAAACAACATGGAGCTATACACATCTCAACAATCAAGAAGTTATGGATGCAGATTCCTAAGATGCAAAGGTCAGTCCCAATGCATTGCATTCAAATGGGTTGATTCACCAAAACATAAAGAACTAGCAACATATGTACCAAACAAGGAAACATCATCCACAAGTGAAGCAACAACAAGCATTCCTATGCAAAGCCATAGTGTTAAAGTGACTGTAGAACAGGATTGGGGGAAAGTAACATACGAAGGCCAAGTATGTGATGTAATTCAGCTTATGAGTAAAAAACTCATTATATAATAATGTAGTGTTGTTCTACATACCTTTCATATTACATTGAGCAAAAAACTGCAAGTGCAATGTGTTAATACTTTGTTGTTATCTAATTCTAACATATATAGTTAGCTCTAGTATTTATACAAAAAAGTGAGCTTCATGTCTAGAATTTACAAGCACAAAAAAAAAAACAGTTAGAGCACATATATTGCATCTGTGCAGTGAGCAAAAGTTGTTTTACCAACAACTAGTTGTGTAAAACACTAGTCGTGTGAACAACTCTGCCAAAACATATATATAATACTTACTTACTGGTGGTAGGCAGTAGTACTTCCACCAACTCTTCTACCCCCTCTACCACCAGTACCTGCACCATCCCTTGCTCCAAGCCTAGCACCAGCCCTTGAACCACCCCTTGCAGCATCCCTTGCAGCACCCCTTGAACCACCCCTATCTGCAGCCCTTGAATCAGCCCTTGAACCACCCCTTGAACCAGCCCTTGAACCACCAGTAGCACCTCTCCCACCACCTCTAGCAACGGGCCCTCCTTGACATGACCTCTTGTTGTGCCCAAAAGATAGACACTTGGTGCACTTCTTCTGACTGCTGGATTGAGTCTCGGTTTCATCATGCCCCTTTATTCTAGTGTTTTTAGGCCTCCCGGGGGCTCTTGAAAGATTAGGTGGCAATAGAAATTCATTTCCCTGCATAATTTTAAAAAATTGGTTAGCATTTGTGCATAATGTCTCTGGAATTGGTTTTACAGTATATATTGGTTTTAGATTTGTGTTAGTACTACCTCTGGCCAATCACTTTCATGTGATATTGGTTTAATATTTGTTTGATATCATGCTTTGTAGGCCTTGACACTTAGCAATGGACTACAAAACCTATAACCACCAACAAGATGAAGTGAAATACATAAGAAGCTTTCAGTTTCAATTTAAAAATTAAAGAAAGAACTAAATTAAAGGTAATAGGAACATACTGAGGTAGTGGTAGTCTCAAATGGCTTATCAAATGGACTGCATGTACACATGGTATGCCTGTGACCTGCCACTCACAACACTCACACTCTTGCTTATATAAGTTGATAATCCAGTGTTCCCCAGTAAATTTCCTCACACAGAAAGTCCCTTCCCCTGAAGGGCATGTCACATAATCATTCTGCTTCTCCTTATAAGCTGCCAGGATTGCAGCTACCCTAGGTACCACATCATTATCATTCCAAGTAGTAGCCTGAACTTTCCTATCATACATAATCTTCATTAAAAGGAATGATATACCTATTATCATTGAACACACAGGTTTATCCCTTTGACTTAATATGAAACTGTTATAGCTCTGCGTGAAGTTGTTTGTCAGGTGGTCACTCTTACATGTTGTATGAAAATGTGCCCTTGACCATAACTCTGGACCAATCTCCATTAAATAGTCCTTGATACCAACCGGTGCCTCATCCAATCTTTGAAGACTTCTTTCAAAGTGGACCTTTTTATATGCTGAAGCAGTAGCCCAGGCCAGGTCTTTTATGTGTTCCCCTTTCCACCACTTGGTCATATTCTTGAAGATGTGTCTAAAGCAGCTTCTAGGATTGCAGCCTCCTAAATGTGTCTGAACACTTGTTATGATTGCTTGAGCCCTATCAGATGTCACAGTAAGTGGCAAAGGGTGTTTATTCAGCTCAGAAGCTATTAATGCCAGAAACCTGTCCCAGTTCTCACCATCTTCTTTTCTACATATGAAGACTGCTAGAGGAAATAGTCCATTATTGCCATCCATGCTAATAGCTGCTAGACAGACTCCTCTATACTTCCCCTTTAGAAAACAACCATCCAACCCTACTAGTAGCTTGCAGCTAGCTCTCCACCCTTCCAAGCTACACCTAAAAGCAACACATAAATACTGAAATTTGTTTTCAGAGTCATATTTGCACTCAACCAAACTATCTGGATTGGAAGCTAGAATCTGTCTGCACAATTCAGGAACTTGAGTATAACTTTTCTCATAATTTCCATGGAGCTCTTCAAGTGCCATCAGCCTAGCATTCCAAGCTTGCTAGTATGAAATGTTTAAAGTCCACCTACTCCATGCTATAGCAATGATATCTTGGGGTGTATAACTGTTGTGGTGCAGCCTCATGTCTTGAGCCAGCATAGTAGCTATCCATCTAGCATTTGCCCCTCTATTCTTGTTCCTGCCATCATTCTCACATGTATGTTCTTCTTGGAGAGACTTCACTTCAGTTGTGTGACCATCATTTTTTCTAATAACATAACACCTCCAAGGACATCTTTCCCCTTTACACCTCAAAATGAGCTTATCTGCACAGTTTTTCTGAAAGAGAATCTCAAACTTGTTCTTGATGGCATACATTCTAATGTACTTTCTGCATGCATCCATTGCCACCCATTGTTTTCCTATTGCCAAGTCCAATTGGTCTTCCCATTTCACATTTTCTGAGCAAGTAAAAGTTTCCTCATTGCAGTCATATGCTTTGTGTGGCATACCATTCAACACCTCACCTATATCCTCCTCATTTCTTGTGCCTTGAACTTCATCCCTATCACTCCCTTCTTCTGTATAAGAACTACAATGATCTAATTAATCATCTGATTCATTCGGATCATCTGATTCAATGAGGTCATACCCATCTAGTCCATCCACAATTTGTTCAAATTGAATACCTATATAGCACATTAAGTAACATCTATATAAACAATATATGGAAGGGTAAACAAATCATTTAGTAAAATACATATATAACACAACTTAATGAATTTATATTGAACCATGTACACTGCATATACCTTCATAAAACTGCGAGGGATCTTTGTCATTTGCAGCATTGACAAAGTTGTTGAGTGGAGGTAATTCAACGAATATATCACCAAAATCATCACTATTTATTCCATCATCTCTGCTGCTTTCATAGAAAGGTACCCTAACTGAAAGTGACAAATTCATATACTATTCTTAATAACCAAAAATCACAAACTAAGTATCTAAACTAAGTATAACAGAATCTTTATAAAAGAGTCTCCATAATCAAATTTGGCAAACTAAGAATCAAACTACTCACTTGGCGCGGGTAAAGTGTCCAACTTTCTCTTTACATGTAGCTTTGATGTCCTCTGAATCCTTTGTGCAGTACTTTCAGTGCGTCATCCTGAATCCACCCATACGTTTTCGCATCCTTCAGAGTTGTCACCATCTTCCATTGCATTGCTTTCGTTCATCTCAGCCCTAATTCACTCGCACCGCCAATGGAGAGAAAACATAAACTGATTCTCTGAGGGACGGTCGGTTGTGAACGAAGCTGGATGTTAGTTAGATCAAGGCATTAGCGTCATTTCACGCCAACGTTAACCTCTTACCAGCTGACTAACGGTTGGAGGGTGTAAAGGCAAAGGATTTTAAAATTAGGGTGCATAGGCTAATTAGGAGTATAAAACAGGGTGCAAACTCTAAATAACCCTTTATTTTCATCCTTGCTGATTATGTCACTTCACACTATGAACGATAATTCAAGAGTTTTTCAACGAGTGGGCTAATAATCTAATATCATTCGTCCATTCTTTAAAGAATAATTGTGCCTATAAAAGATTTTTTTAGAATAAAAGATTTTTTAGAATAAAAGATCAGAGTTCTATTTTGATATAGAAGTAAGGTAATGATGTATTTGAACATTTGTGTTTTGATTTAGTACTGTATAAATAGTTTTCTCTAATTTCTCTTTCGAATAAGAAATAAATTAAATTAACGGAATAAGAGTTTGTTTAGTGACCTAGTTTTTCGGCTTATTAGACTTATCATCCACTTTTTTCATTATACGCGTAACTTTTGATTTCGCGCACTGAATTATGTAATTATAAGAAAAAGTAAGGGTGAAGTTACTTTTTTGCTGTATTGGCTGAAGTTAATGTAGATTATCATTGTAGCTATTTTTTATACGTAGTATAATTTATTCTTAATTTTATTAGTAGAAAATATTTCAAATATAATTTTTTCATTAATCAGCATTATCAGTCAATCCAGTCAGTTCAGTCAGAACTTCATATATTTCAGCATAATAAGCCGATTCAACCAATTTCAATGTTAAGGACTCTAAAGTGCCATCTTATACGGAGTATTATATTACTCTCTACGTCCTTAAAAACTTTGTCAAGTTTGACCAGCACGAGGATTAATAAAGTAAAAACTGTGTGGTTGAGGTTTGTGCAGAGGATAGAGAACTAATTGGAACCACAAATTCTTTACTTAAAATGGAAAGTTACAAAGTTAGTGTGACATCTAAAAAAGAAAGTTGGCAAAGTTTTAAGAGACGAAGTTAATATCATATTTTTCATAGCTTTGGGGTGAGCTGCATAATTACTCGGTTCTTCGTACAATAAATTTTTATACGGAGTAACCAACTATATGTTTCTCCCAAAGCAACGCATTTGAAACGTACTTTAATAGAAGTTGGCAGGAAATTAAGATCCCGCTTCGTGTACACGTCGGGTTACACGTCGGTCAAATTGTCTGTATGCAGACAATTTGATCGGCTAGACTGACAATTTGACCGGCGTTTTATGAAGAAAATCGATTTCCATATAGATAAAATATAAATAGTTGTTTGTATCACAGACATTTTAAACCTGATTTTTTCATAAAGTGTCTGTGATACAGACATTTTTTTCATTTTTGTCTGTGTGAAAATCGGTTTTCTTCGTAAATCACCGCTCAATATGTCTGTGTAGTCGATCAAATTATCTGTACACAGACAATTTGACAGGCGTGTAACCCGGCATGTAAAACTTTGTGTGTACAAAAGGAATTTTCCGGAAATTAAAGCATACGGAGTATGTAATTTAGTACGGAGTGTTATGTATATCGATGACTCAAAAGCTATGTTTAAGAAATAGGATGCAGAAGCGGCCCAGGCGTCCAGCCACGTGATCGGGTCACGGGTCAAACCAGATCCGATTGAGTCAATCGAATCAACACCATAAAATCGGTCAATCATATGATAATAATATACTCCCTTCGGTCCTAAATAAATTTCACACTTTGACTTCACACAAATTAAGGAAATAAATTTGACTTTACTGTGGAGTACATTGTTGTGACACTGTTTGACAGTGTTTGACACTGTTTGGCACCGTTTTGCACTGTTTTGATGTAGATAATTTGCCAAATTAGGAAGGGTGAAGAAGTGTGAAGTTTATTTTGGACCTACCCAAAAAGGAAAGTGTGAAGTTTATTTATGACCGGAGGGAGTACATATAATTGTATACAAAATTGAAATAAAAGGTAGTTATTTCATCATAATCAATTGATGATAATACTTAGGATGTTTTTACTTAGAATATTTTCAGTGCCATACCAGAAATGATCAGACCAGATCAGACCATACTTAACTTCGTTAGTTATAAAATACATAGAGACCAGACGTTTACTAGACCAGACTAGACAAGTTCAAACCAGATTAGGCTTAAACAGACTAGACCAGACCAGACTTAAACAAACTAGACTAGATCAGACTTAAACAGATCAGACCAGACCAACAAATTACACTCCAAGTAAAAACATCCTTACTAAGCATTTAAAAGTCAAAAGAGACTCATAAAATTCCAAAAAACCATTTTGATCTTATTAAAATGTATAGATACTCTATGTTTGTTATTTGTTTTGTACAATTATTATATAATTTGACATGATTGTTGTTCTTAAATAGAGAAGTAGTATATAAATATATTGCATACTTTTTCTTTTTAGGGTATTGAAATTGGAATTTTATAGGTTAAAATGCTTTTAAATTGAAAACAAAAGTACTTTGTTTTTGATAAAATCAACCAAAACCGGGTATTTGGGGTTTGTCGGATTTTCCGGTTCCGTGCCGGTTCTGGGCCGAGTTTTTTTCCGATCAACCATGTTTTTCCGATTTTGACTACTTCTGAGTTTTTAACTAATCGAACGGAGTTGTGATCCAGGTCACCGGGTTCCGGGTCGACCCGACCAGTCCTGATCGATTTTTTAAACATAGCTCAAAAGTGGTTCCCTTTTCTTTAAGGAACTTCGCTTATAAAATTACTTATTTACCTTTGAAAAATGATTTGTGTACACATTTTGTGCATTCGTCTGTCTCACGCATATAGACTTGTCTTCCACAGACAACTCTGTAGAATTGTCTATGAAAAGATAGTTTTTTGTGTGTGAGACTTACAAATGTTCAAAAGATGTACAGAAAAATGTGTAGCACAGCTCTTTACTTCGTTCGAACGAAGCTTCCTCTAAACTTCTCTTTTAATAGCAACATTTCACGTTAGTCAACGCACAATTTTGACCATTAATATATTTCATTTTCTATTAGTAAAAAATTTTAAAAAAATCATATTTTGAAAATTTAGAATGAGATGAATTTAGCAATATTTTTAAAAAATTTAATTTATAATACATTAATTAATGAAATATAGTCAAAGTAGAATATGTGAATAATGCAAAAAAAATGCAATGTTGCAATTAAACGAGAAGGGATGTAGTACAAAATATCTCACGATTTTCTATCATTAAGAATACAATCAAGTAGTGTATATTCTAAAGAGATTTGCGAGCTATTTCCGAGTTTTATTAGAACTTGTAAATTTCATTTTCTCTATTTTATACGAAGTATTTATCGAATTATTTGTCTCATATTTGCTTGTAATGAACTAATGATCTTAATTTCCCGGTAATTATGTCCAACTAAAACACGGGTACGGCTTTGATGAATAAAGATTGTGTGTACATGAAATGTGTACACATTTGATACGCATTTGTACGTAATTGTCTGTACATACAGATAATGTGTACACAGTACACCCCTAGTTTTCTGTATATACGAACAACTCGTGTAACAATTATTTGTGTGCACATATGATTAAGTATAAGTGTGTGTCAAGTGTGTTTAAATTTTGTGCACTCACTTATTGTTTGATAAAACTTAAACATTAAATCATTAAGTTGACTGAGTCACTGTCATTTACAACCAACCTCTCATATGCCTTGTTGGATCGGGATGTGGGGACACTTGAAGTTGGGGATTTTTGGATGAATGATAAAACATACACATGAGTGAATCAAACATCAAAAACCCCGCATGGGCAGCTCAGTTGGTCCAGTTGTGAGAAATTTGGAACAATGGTCAAGGATCGAAACCCACAACGGTCGTGTGGAGTTTACACCTCCTGTGTGTTAGGCTGGACCTCTGGTGCGCACTGGTACAATGCCAATTACCATTGAATCAACTGAGTCATCGTGACTTACTCCTCCATCATTCTGTCGGGTCGGGATGTGGGGCTCCTAGTGTGAGAGATTCCACCTTCTGGAAGAATGAATCAAATGTCAAACATCATTTATTCTGCACTCACCCGGCCATCAACGAAGTATAGTTGTCGGGGAATCAATTTATTCCCTTTCAACTTGAGAATGGAGTTCATGGCTCCCCTAATTGTGCTTTCAGGGCTCAGGCACATAAATCTCAACTGATTAGTTTAATTATGGCCGCTTAATCTCAGGGGAATCTTTTCAATGGAATCAATAAATGGCCAACAGATCAGTTTATTATTCTTAAACCTAAACAACGGTCCCTAGTTAGCTAGCTAACAATAACAATGAGTTTGTGGGCTTCTTTTGAACTACTCCGTTCCAAAATACACTTTACACTTTTGTTTTTGGGTAAGTCTAAAATAAAATTCACACTTTTACTTTTGCTAAATTTTTAACATAAAGTTATGATTATACTCTTACTTTATTATCTACTTTACACTCATTTTCTTTCTCTCATTACGTCAAATCTACTTTTTGTAGGGGTATAACGTGAAAGACAAAGCTACAATTCCAGTTTTTTTTTTAAATCTTAAAATCAAAATGTGAAATTTATTTGGAACTAAAGGGAGTATCATATTTTCCTCTTCAAAAGCAGGTTAAGCAGCTATCTCTTACTCGATCATCCAAATTAGTGGTACTCCGTATATACAAGCTTAAGCGATCATATTTAGACAAACAAATAATCTATCATAATTTTTGTATCACAATATTATCTTCATTCTTTCCTTTTTCATATATTTTATAAAATTTCATTTTTCTATTATGGCAAAAGACTAAAAGAGTGTGATTCATATTATTTCTGTCTTCTGCACAATGTTTAACTAAATAATTGTTTTTAATTTACGTTAAAGTCAAACTGGAGTTAATATTGAGAGGAAGGGAGTACAACGTTTTATGGAATAACAATGTCTATGCGTAAAGAATTGTTGCTGCATCCACAACAAAAACGTCGAGTTCACCGAGTTTGGTACGGACTACAATGCATCATACTTAAATTATTTATGACCAATTTCATATTTTATTTTACGATACTGGTTTCAGGTTCATGATCTAATTAAAGTGGCTTCATTGTATAATTTATATGGAGTTTATACGAAAAGTTGTGAATTAGGTAGATTCTATGGTATCCTTAAAGTATCAGGATGATGCAGTTGAAGTAATTAAATCTAAATTAAAAATGATATAATGATTTGGACCAATCAAATGAATAGTAGCTACGATATCCCAATTTTTAAACGAGTAACGAAGTTGTCACCTCTGAATTATCCCTCTCATCCGCTTTTAGAGCACGTTTGGTGACTATGTTTTCCGGCTTATCAGGCTTATCGGTCAACTTTTTAATCAAACACATAATTTTTTATTCGTGCGTTGAATTGTTTACTAATAAGAAAATGTAAGATTGAAGTTACTTTTCTGGCTATATTGGTTGAAGTTACTGTAGATGGCCATTTTAACTATTTTTCATATAATTTTTTCTTTATTTTATTAATAAAATATATTTTAAATATATTTCTTTCATAAATCAGCAGAATCAACCAATACAGCCGTTAGGATTGTATACCAGTCATATAATTTATGCTCGATTCGGGATTCGAATTCGTATAAGACGATTCGAATTCAAAATATTCAAATACAAATACAAATACTAAATTTGATTCGAATTGTTATCAAATACAAATACAAATATCAGTATATTCAATTCGAATGTTAATCAAATATATTCGATTAATAATAATGATAATATTAATAATAATAGTAATAATAATAGAATAAACTATAATAACGGTTGCTAGCTATACCCTCAAATTGTAGCCTATATATACATTTACTTGCACACGTTCCAAGCCAATTTGTAATAAATCAAAAGTATCATAAAGAGTAAGGATTGTAAATGAAACTAAAAAATTTATTTCCATTCGTGATTTGGATTCATAAATTACGATTTAAATTTGAAAATATAGAATATAAATAAAAATACAAATCAGATTTTTTATTCAAATACGAATGCAAATGATTATGTAATTGATTCGAAGAGTAATGAAATATATATATTCGTTTGTACATAAACACAATGAGTTGAGTTTTTATCACTTTTAGTCTCTCGACTATTATGTATTTGACACTTTTGGTACTCAACTTTGATTTTTTTCACTTTTAGTCTTTGACTATTGTGCTAGAGACACTTTTGGTACTCGTCTTTGAAAACATCCATATTTAGTCCTCCGACTTTCATAAAAGTTACACGTTTGGTCATTCAACTATTATAATAATGACATTTTTAGTCCTCCTTTTATAGTGTCAAAATCACAGTGGAAGGACTAAAAGCAAGTGTCAATTTGATAATACTCTGGGGACTAAATCTGAAAATCTTTAAAGTCGAGGACTAAAAGTGTATCTAGCACAATAGTCAAGGACTAAAATTAGAAAAATTAAAAACCGGGTGCCAAAAGTGTCAATGACACAGACCAATATTCAGGGGACCGAAAATGGAAAAAACTCTAAACACAATGTATTATCTAGTATGTGTATGTGCATCAACTATCCACTATATGTGTGTAGTATAAACTCTAAACACAAACAATTAAGGAGTAACATTTTTTTTATTATCAACAATGCCAAATATCTAACATAAAGTTAGAGTCCTTTGATTTTGATAAATACAATTATCAACTTATTTTACACATATATGTATAATTTCTAATGTGTGTGTTAGTGTTTATGTATAGTAATCATAAAATTGATTCACTTCAGGATATTGTGGACAATCTAAAAATGAACTGATCCATTAAATTTAAAGAAATATGTAATGTTACAAACTAAATTCTAAAACACATACTAAGTCATAGCATGCATTTATAACATAAGAAATATAGGAAAAGTTGTTTTAAAATGATAAAACAATACAAAAAAACGCCCGAAACTAGACCCATGGGAACTCTCTAGATTGAGACCTAGTCTTCATACTGTGCCGCCTTTTGTTTTTTTTAGACTTCCTGTATATTTTGAGTTGTGTTTTCAAATTTTCTGTTGGCGGACAATTTTCTGAGGTAACAAACTTGGATTTGCTGCAGATCGCCCTGTTGAATTTTGATTTCGTAATTTCTGCCGGAGTTGAGATAGGTGGACGATGGTCGCTTTCGGTCGCTTTCTGCTGGAGACAATCTGTACTGTTTTATTTTCTTTCTGTAATTTGCTTTTCACATTAACTTTTTATTTTTTTCAATAAAATTCACTTTCCTAAAAAAAGTTGTTTTAAAATGATATTTGACTAATATTTAACTTATGATCAAATCGATTCGTTATTCGTATATGATTCGTTAAATATTCATATTATTACACGTATACGAATACAAATCGAAATGAATATTCGTTTCATATTTGAATTCGGATTCGTATTCAAAAAAAGTAAACAAATATAAAATCACACTATTGGACTTGATTCGGTTCGTTTACAACCCTAACAGTCACCATCAACAAGAGTTTCATAAATTTTAACAAAATCAGCTCATTCAGCCAATTTCAGTGTTATCAAACGAACTCTTAGTGTGAGTCTCACACTTTATTTTTTAATTTTCTCATTCTCAATCAAGGCCTGTCCTTTTAACAGTAAGGTTAGTATTTAAAACTTGAACACAACTCTATATAATCTACATATTGGTGGACTGTGGTACAAGTTTTTTTTTTTATTTTCACATTAATAAATGGCTACATTGTAAGAAAATAATTTACTACACTGGATTTTGAAGACTAAGCAAGGAATAGTAAACCCCACTTGGGCCTTTAGCCAACAATGAGGAGTGGGTACCTTCCTCCACCAATTCTCCTTTGTCCAAAACCGCAACCACGTCACAATTCCGTATGGTGCTTAACCGGTGTGCTACGACCACGCTAGTTCGACCAATCATGATCCGGTCCAGTGCTTCTTGAACCAACCGCTCAGATTTACTATCCAACGCGCTCGTGGCCTCGTCCAATAACAACACCGACGCGTTCTTCAAAATCGCTCGAGCGATTGCCACGCGCTGTTTCTGGCCTCCCGAGAGCTGTACTCCCCTCTCGCCGCACCACGTGTCATATCCGTGTTCCAACGCGTCGATGAACGTGTGGGCATTTGCTGCCTTTGCCGCCGCCACGATTTCTGCCTCGTTGGCAGTTTCAGAGACTCCGTACGTAATGTTCTGCCGTACAGTTCCGGCGAACAGCATCGGCTCTTGGCTCACTAGCGCGATGTGTTTCCTTAAAGACCGTAGATTATAGGATCTTAAATCTCGGCCGTCGATTCTCACTGAGCCCTTTATTGGGTCGTAAAACCTCTGGATTAGGGCTATTATCGTGGACTTACCTGACCCGCTCGGCCCAACTAACGCGGTTGCTTTACCGCCTTGAATTACCATCGAGAAGCCTTTGAAGATAAAAATATCGGGCCTTTCCGGGTACGTGAAATGGACATCTCGGATCTCCACATTTTCTACCAGTTTTTCTGGAATGTAGCTATTCGGGTCTTCTGGATCTATCCGGGTTTCTCGATCCAAGACAGCGAAAATGGATCTTATCGCATTTGAACCCTTGGCTAGGTCGCTGGTCATGGTTGCAGCTTCTGCTATAACACGACTGGTGGTGATCAATATGAAAAATGTCTGAAAGAGAGATTTGACTGGAATAAGGCCATGTTTTACCAATTTCCCACCGTACCACCAAGCCAAAGCTACATTGAAGGTTATTAGGCTTGTGGATATTGCAAGAACAATGCCTGCACACCATGACTGTCGAACACCATCTCTAATTGTACCTGTTAGTCATAAATTGCCTCCCAGTGTGAAAAGATACTCTGTAAGTGTTATTGATATAGTTTATTGGCTATTTTGTGAGTATAATGTTGTGTTTTCTTTTAAATATTTTTCACTTTTAAGATATTTTCAGGCATGAAGTTTTATGGTGAAATCATTTGGTGAAACTTGTTAATGTCTAGAGTCTAGGTAAATGGTATGCTTAGCTCTTGCTTAGTAAGGTATGATATGTATTATGATCTAATTCTGAAATGTTTTTGTATGTTAAGTATGTTTATGTAAGTCTGTTATGTTTAAATCTAATCACATATGATTTGAGACTGAAATCCATTAAGTAAAACATCTTTAGTCTTTTAGCTGTTATTGTAGAAACACTGATGGCATATTGGCATTGTTTTTTATTTTTTCACTTTGATTCTATTTACTACTCCCTCCGTCCCAAAAAACTTGGCCGTCCCCCAAAAAAATTGTCATTTTCATTTAAAGTAACAAATGTGGCTAAAGTTATTTCTCTCCCCTCTGCACAAATATCAACCACACAGTTTTTATTTTATTAATCTACGTGCAAGTCAACATTGGACAAGTTTTATGAGACAGAGGGAGTATTATGAATGCGACACTTATGATCATTTGACTATTGTCACAATCACACTTTTTGTCTTTCACTATTGTGCCAAATTCACGGTTGAAGAAATATAAAGTGTCACTCTTATGATAGTCGTTCGATTAAATGTTTAAAACCTAAAAAATGAGTACTACACATGTCATTGTTTCGATTTTTATTACCTAAATCAGAAAAATTAAAACAGAGTATAGAAATTGGCATTGACACAATATTCAAAAGACTAAAAGGGATTCCTTTGGTCAAATATGAAGTCTATCTAGCTAATTAATTGGTTCTATTTTTTCCTGTCGTCTAACTAAAATTCTTAAACTTTTAGTATAGTTTGACCCAAGTATCATATAACACAACTCAGTGATTCCCATTAAGTTCTAAATTTCATTAATATGTATCCCGACCAACATATTTAATTACATTACATTTTAGAAAGCACATAAGGTGTGTACCTTCTTGAGCTTTCTTTAGCATTTGGAGAATCTTTGCTTGGGATGAAAATGATGTCACTGTTCGGACATTAGCAACAGCCTCTATTGCGATTTTACTGCTTTCACCTTGAGATTGCGTAGCTTTCTGGGACATATTCTTTAAGAAAACACGTCTATAGTAGAATCCCATTATAATGGCGGGTTGTGCAGCCATCATCAGTAATGCAAGCTTCCATGCAAGAACTAGGCTAAGCGTGCAAGACACAACTACAGATGAGCATGTTTGAATAAGTAGAGCCATTCGATCACCTACCAAAGATCTAACCTGTGGCATTGCGATATATAAGTCATCCAACTCTTATTATTGTAAAAGTGTTATACTTGTTAAGCCAAAACACGCTAAGCTATCACAAAAGTCAATCAATAATAAAGACTCAAATCTCTCGAATTGTTCAAACCATTTTGGATAGAACGACCATTTAAATCTTTCACATCAGATATCTATGACTTCCGACTGTATCGATAGAAAAAAAAAATCATCATGTTGGAGTGAGTTGGACCAATGTTATTACTACTTGGTCTTTTAGTAGAAATCTTAAGTTTAATGATATAAAATGTCAACAAAAAGTAATATATACCACATTGGCATCAGTAGCAAGTCTAGAGCAAATTGCACCAGTGGAGTTGTTATCCTTGTCATACCACCCAATTTCAAAAGTAAGAATCTTGGATAATATTTTCACTCTCATCCTTTTAGTTAAGTACTCCCCCATGATCGCAAAATTGTAATGTTGAACTATACTGAGCAAGATAGCGAGAATAGATAAACCCAAAAAGCACAATGAGTAAATTGTTATCTTTTCCTTAATCTCAGCATGGGAGGGCAGGAAAAACACAGATAGCATTGCCCCCAACACAAATCCATACGTCGGTTGAACTGCACCAAATAACATTGCCCCTATAGATCCCAATGTTGCTTGCTTCCACTCTGGCAAATTCAACGCAAAAAGACGTCTAAATGATGGTGCTGGAGGTAACTCTTTGTCTTCAAATTTGGCACAACCACTTTGCAAATCCATACTTGTGATAGATAATGGTAGTCCTAGTTCTACTAATTCTTTGCTGGTAGTAATAGTGTGAGGATCACTCGAAATGTCTTGAGATATTGGTATTTGTTGGCGAACAAGAGAGGTGTAGATACCGTTTTCATTTTCAATAAGATCAGAATGCGAGCCAATCTCCTTTACTTGACCATTTTGTACAACCGATATAAGGTCTGCATTTCTGATGGTAGAGAGACGGTGGGATATGATAATTGTGGTGCGCCCTAAGGCAACTTTGTCTAGAGCTTCTTGGACTATCCTTTCAGATTCCAGGTCAAGTGCACTTGTGGCCTCATCAAGAAGGAATATTTTTGGTGCTCTAATAATGGCTCTCGCTATTGCTATCCTCTGCTTTTGCCCTCCAGACATTTGGACCCCTTTCTCTCCTACCTGTTAAGCATGTCACATTACTTGATTGAATATAAACGTATGAACGAATTTTTAAGGTAAGGTTTCTTTCATTCTAGAGAAATTGATTTTATGAATAAACATGTGACTACATTTTCTATAAGTACACTTATGTGGTACATTACAAAATTGAACATAATTATGAACACAAAAGTTACTATCAAGGTCAATGCATATTAAGAATCATATTTTTGTTTACGTACTTCTTTTTGGGATTCTCTTAAAATATTACTAAAGTAGAATCTATGCACAAAAATGTTACTTGGAAAAAGGGTCAAATAAGGTCTTCTACTATTACGGAATCATCACATAAGGTCATGTACTCAATAAAGTGTCATATACTTATAAAAAGCAATCATATGAGTTCTAACGATCAGTTGATAACCCCCTAATTCCAATTTTGGCTTACATGTCGTTATTTTTGCCTTGTATTTAAGTCAATCTTGGTAAAATATTTGACATGAGCATTGTAATCTATTTTGAAAAATTAGCCAGACGTATGCTAAACCAGGATTACGAGTTTCTAAAAAGGTTATTAGGACTCATCTGATTGCTTTTTATGACTAGACGTATCTGTATGGCACTTTATTGAGTACATGATCTTATGTGACGATTTCATAATAGTAGAAGATCCGATTTGACCCTTTTTCTCATATTTCGTTAAAGTACTAAAGAGAAACTTCTATCTTATTAACCAATTATTTTTGGGTAGAATTCATTGAAAGAAATTTGTCTTACTGCTCTACCTGGGTATCATAGCCCTGATGCAACTGGGAGATGAAGTTGTGAGCATTAGCAGCTTTTGCAGCCTGAATGACATCTTCCATGGATGCATCCTCCTTCCCAAATATTATGTTTTCTTTAATTGTAGTGGCAAAGAGAGAAGGCTCTTGGCTCACTAATCCCATTTGTGACCTTAACCATTTCAAATTGATCTTATCTAAAGATATCCCATCAAGAAGAACCTCTCCTCGAAGTGGATCATAAAACCTCTGCAACAGCGCGACTGTTGTTGACTTCCCAGACCCGCTACCTCCGACAAGTGCCATTTTCTTGCCCGCAGGAATTCGTAGGTTGAAGTTTTTAAGGATCGTGGTTTCAGGTCTGGATGGATATGCAAACTGGACATGCTTGAATTCAACCTCGCCCGAAACATGGTCCATTATGTGTCCATCCCTGTTGTCTGAGTCAATCTTCGGCACTCTTTTTATAACTTCCATCATTCGTTCACATGCTGCACTTGCCTCTGAGAAGTACTTCACATTGGACAAGCTTGATCCAAATGCCCTATTCAGTATCAGAAATGAACAAGTTGTTCTCAATAAAAACCCGATACTACAAATTAAAAAACCCAATATTTGGTGATCCATTTTTGTCTTATCAGCTAGTAGTGAGTTTTGATTGTGTATTTAGTTACGAAATATTTATTAATCAAAATAAGTAAGATTTGAGTTGATATTTTGATCGAACTGACTTAATTTACTCAAGAACATAATTTTAGCTTCCTTTTACTTTCATAAAAGTATAAAACCTATTGTAATTTATTATTAAAATATATTTTAATTATAATAATTTCATAATTTAAACGATTTGAGTAATTTGGGTGATGAATGTGTTAAAACTAATATAAATGTAATTTAATCTACTTAACTATGAAATAATTATACATAAAATAAATTCTTATAAAATAATGAAAAATATACACTATTAAAAGCTAAAACTGTTCACTTAAGCATATTCAAATCCTACAACATTCTTTATTTTAATTGCTAATAAGTAACGCCTAAGTGAAGCATTTAGTGGTTGCTAAAAAAACCTACTCCATATGATAAGTCAAAAAAGTGGTTACCATATATATATACTATGGCTAAAAACTTTTAATCCCATATATAACTACTGTTATGATGAGTTGATGACACATTTTTTATTCACCTTTAAATTTTTATACTCTTAGTAGTCGTTCTTACATTGTGATATCAACATTTTCATAATCTCTTTGAACTTTTGACTTTAAAATCCTTAACAGTTGTCATTTCCCAAATCTTTACTCTCAAAAGTATCATCATTATTATAAGTGGGATGAATAATTTAAAAGGGAGAAATAAAAAACTGAAGTGTAACGAAAGAAAGGGAAGAGGTGATTACAATCCACCGGTTGTTATCGCAGCACCAACCGCAAAAGCAGTGCCACCCTGAACGCCGTGATACATGATCAACCGGCTGTTGTAATATGACATGTATGACCATATTGCGTAAACCACTCCGTTACTCCCAACGGCAAGGCCTTTTGACAGGCCTTGCCTTAGGCCAAGTTTTACCGTCCCTTGGAGAGCCTTGGAGTAATTCTCAATGGTTTTACTTTCACCCACAAATGAGTAAACTGTTCTGATGGAAGAAAGGGCCTGTTCCACAATGTTACCAGCTTTGCTGTACTCAACTCTCATCTTTTTTGCTATTGCTGCAAGTGTTCTCCCATACATAAAGCCTGGAATCACCAAAAGTAACACAGATGGAAGTGCAATCACAGCTAGCCTCCATAGCATTATGAATGAAACCAAATAAGCCCCAATAAATGTTGATATGTTTGCAACAAACACTGGTACCTGTTTCACAATTATGCATATGTTTTTGTGAATTAACTCAAATAATCTCATTTGACCGATATAAAAGAGATCATAAGTAGTAGAAAAAAGTTAGACTTAAAATGCAATGACCATGTGTAAAGTAAAAGGAGGTTTACAATTTTAGATCTGTAATTTTTTACCATGCTCGATATATTAATTAGTTTCGATCCTTTACCGGTGGGCATAGCTCAACTGGTAGCAAGGGAGTGTCACAAGGGTTAGGTCCCGAGTTCGAATCCCGGCAACTGCGATGAGGGGTTACTGTGCTAAAAATGCATAGGGCATCCCAACGTACCGTTCGGTCAGGGTTGGGGGACCCTCAGGGATGGGCTGTCATCCTTTTTTTTATCAGTTTCGATCCTTGAGTTTACTCGCATACAATGATACGAGTCTGAATGTATAATAAATTTATCAATATTAAGTACTTTTCCATTGGAAATTGCACTATCCGGGAAAAAAACACCTAAAAGACATTGTCGGTGTCAACTTTTTACCATAAATAGTGCAGAGTACAATTTAGGTGAAAAGATTCTTAATGTTGACAAATTTATTAATTACGTTACACAATTAAATCTGCAAGTGCGTAAAGTTAGAAGACTAAAAATGAACAACCACATGCATAAGAATGAATTTACAATTTTTTCGTAAAAGAACTATAAATCAATAATGGACAAGATATTTTATATGAGTAACCATAATATATAGCAAGTGTGATAGCCACTATTATGTTCATTATTTTTATAGATACATCAGTGTAAGTGCACTCATAGCAAGTATACACAATATTTTTATAAATATTTCCAAAACCTAAATATAAAATTAAAATATACGGATTAATATTATGTATGCATTTTCTTCCACGAACTTCAGTATTCTGGTGAACGGAGGGAATATATTTACCATCGAGCTTCGTGTATACACACTCAATTAAATTATTTGTACACAAATAACTTTTACGGAGTAATTTTTTTATTTTTTAGGAATTGATTGTATCATCGGTCAAAATAAATAGGGGTAAGTGTACAAAAATGTGTGCAAATAGCGTGTACAAAATTCCAGAACTTTCCCATATTATACGAGGTATGTAAAATTTTGTATAAAAGAGAATGAAAATTGTTGGTCTGGTTTGATCTGATCTGGTCTGGTAAACGAGCTGGTCACTGTGTATTTTATAAATATCTAAGTGTAGTCCGATCTGGTCTGGTCTGAGTAAAAACATCCTTAATGTGAAGTCCAATTGAAGCACCATTTAATTTAAACTTTTGGTTCCGTTGAAGTGAGATGCACGGAGTGATAATATAGCCTGAGATTAGTGGCGAAAAGCCTATGCCAATGTTTTGTAATTATTCAAACAAGCATTATATTATGGATTCATCTCATATATATAAAAATAAGGTAGTGGCTAGCAGTGGAATTGAAAAAAGCCTATGCCAAAAAAAAAAGCTTTTTTTTTTGAAAAAGCTTATTTTTTACACGTCTATGTCTGTGAAAGCTTTTTTTTTGTCTCTAAATACCGATTCACAGACAATATTTTGCACAACAAAAAAAGCTTCACAAAACATGGTGTGTATAAGATGTGTACAAGGATGTACATTAAGCATGGTCGAATGAATGCACCTTTTCGCTGATAACATCTTGAATAACAAGGCTATCGGCTGATAGAGTTGTGATAACATCGGATGTGTTTGTGTGGAGCGAATCGAAGTAGGCCACATCTTGTCTCAACACTGCTTTCATGTATTGTAACCTTAGCCGTGATGCTTGCCTCTCGGCCGTCCTCGTCCAACAGTATCCCTCTGATACCATTTTCGATCAACAACTTAAGGATAAATAAATTAAACACGCAAATACCATTAAAACATGTATGAATAAAACAATCAATATTTTCTTCCTAAAATAAAATAGGACTCGTTCATTCATAATTGGCTGGTCCTATTTGATCGAATAGAGCCCCAATTCTTTAATAATTTTTTAGTACTTTATACTAGTATCATACAGAGTAGATTGATACGGATCGGTAGAGTATAGGGAAGTAAGAAAAAATAATGCAGATTCACCTTTTTTTATTCATTTATCCTTTTAAACCTCTTTTACACAAATTGTTTGGGTAATGCGTTGTGTTGCTTTAATTTAAGTATTATGTGACTTTTAGCAATATTAATTGCATTATTTAATGGGTGCTCAATTGTTTTTAGTATAAATATTTAGATTGGAAATATTTTTTTGTTTTTTTTTTTAAATTCGGAACCGGGGCATCCGATCCAAATCATTAGATGCCCAGTTAATTGTTGAATTTTTGTACTTTTAATTGAATCAAACAAGGTTTATATTTAAAATAAAACATACTACCTCTGTCTCGAAAATGTTCGCCATATTGATTACTCCCTTCATCCCATAAAATAGTTCCCACAAGGATTTGGATCGGAGTTTAAGAAAGTTAGAATAAAGTGAAAATGTATGATTGTGGTTGAGTAAAAAAAATGTAAATGAATGGTAGCCACACAAAACTTTTCAAAAAGGTAAATGAGAACAATTTTTTGGGATGACCCAAAAAGGAAAGTGAGAATTATTTTACGGGACGGGGGAATATTTTTTTGTCAATGATAACAAACTTTGGATAATGATTTAATTACAATATCTGTATATAATTTATAATTTTTATAATTTTACGAAAATGTTTTGCATAAAGAACATTTTGATATAATTTTCATATTCAAAATAATTTCATATTAAAAAAATCATTAACCAAGGTTGATCGTCGTTGATCAAGTAAAATCAAGTAAATAGTTATACTTATTATTGTACATTATTTAAGTTTTAATTCTATTTGGAACCATTGTAAAAAACAATTGAAATACATGGTTGGGTTTGAGGAAATGGAAGACTTAAAATGATGGGGGTCTCACATGCTATGTACAATTTTCCATCTCACATGCTATGTACAATTTGGCATGACACACTTTGTGTCAACTCGCTAAAAACCGATGTAACTATTCAAGAGTCCCACTTAGTGTACACGCCGTCAGGTTACACGTCGATCAAATTGCCTGTGTACAAACAATTTGACCGGCTACACAGACAATTTAACCAGCATTTTATGAAGAAAATTGGTTTCCACACAGACAAAAATAAAGAGTTGTCCGTATTATAAACATTTTAGGCGACAATTTTTCATAAAGTGCCTGTGATGCAGACAATTTAAATGAGAATATTAAACGAGAATTTTAAAATGTCTGTCATACAGACATATCTTTATTTTTTTCTGTGTAAAAATCAATTTTCTTCATAAAACGTCGGTCAAATTGTCTGTACATAGACAATTTGACCGACGTGTAAACCGACGTGTAAAAAATGACATGTACAAACAGAATTTTCCACTCTCCGATGAGTGAACATTTGGAGCAATGTGTAGATCTTCTTTTGGAATTTGCCGACTTTAAGAAAGTAAAACTAAGTTTCCACAGGTGAGAAATAAAGTAGAACAATAAATTGAATTTTCAGGGGGAAAAGTCAAATAAACACTTTTACTAATTTGAATCTGTCACTTAAACATCTGTATCGAAAAGGTGTCATATAAATACGTTTACTTTACAAAATTGAGTCATTTGACCGTTTAATCAGTTTTTGACCTGTAATATCGGGTTTTAGTATTTAAAAACTATAAAAAAATTGATAAAATTTGATGAAATATATACAAAACTTGTGAAAAATTTCAGGATATCAAAGTCATTCCTTAATTTTTAAAAATATTTGTATCTTCTACATCTATTTAAAAGATTTTTAATATTTTTTATTTTCACTTTATTTTTCAGTTTTATGATTTTTTTAATGTTTTGAAAATTTTATCTATTTATACTATTTTTATACTATTATTAGATGATTTATTCAAATTTGTATGAATTTTGTAATATTTATCAATATTTCTAATTTAATTTTTTATAAATTAACCTAGTATAGCAGGTCAAATGGCTTGATTGATTGTATTTTAAAAGTAGACGTACTTCGATGATACTTTTTTAATGCAAGGGCTTAAGTGACAAATTGGAAATAGTAAAAGAGCTTATTTCACCCTTTTTTCCTTTTCAAAATGACAGCCTTTGTATGAACCAAGACTATGTTTGGCACGCATAAGCCTTTGTCTTGTAGCTTTTATACTATTCAAAAAATCTCAAAAAGCTTCTAGTTTTATGTTTGACATGACAATTTTTAAGAGCTTTTCAAAAATTAAAAGATCTTTTTTTAGATGCTACGGGGAGTAGCATCTGAAAAAAGCTCGTGACTTTTAGTATTAATTAGTTCTAACAACTTGTATACCAAACTGAACTAAATCAAACAGTCAACTTTTTACCAAACGGCAACCACCTTTTCTTTTTAAGATCTTTTAAGTCACTAAAAACTAACAGTTATTAAAAAACTTACAAAAGTATCTTTTCAGCTAGTTGTGCCAAGCATACCCAAATCTTAAAGTTGGAAGCTAACAAAGTACTACTATTGTCTCAATTAGTTTAATGTATGAGGAGATGGTACTATTATTGTGAAAAGGGAATTTATATAATTCATAATATATTAATAAAATAAAAACAAAGTGATTGATTCAAAATTATATAAATATTATGGGGTATCACTTTTGATATGGGACAATTTTAATGAGACAGATCAAAAGTGGAGAGACATGTCAATTTTGAAGGGATGGATTGATGAAATAGTGAAAGAAGAAAAGTGCAGCTCAATTTCGGACCATTCACAGCTTGGGGTGAAAAAGTTAAATTTTAAAATTTCACCCCATTCTTTTGTGCAACCATATCAAAAAAGGTATAGGAAGGATTTATAGTTGACACTTGTGAGTTTTTGGATATATTTCTTAAAATGGTTTTTGCTCTTTCATGAAGTAGAAGCACATATAAGAAGAAGAGTGTTTCAATGAAAAATGAAACAGAAGCAGAATCAATTCCAAATTAAAAATCATTTATATAAGCCTATTAAGCAAGCCCTAATGATAGAAAATTTAAATTTTTGAAAAAATTGTACTTTTTTTAATTGTTCTCCATTTTTATAAAAAAAAGTATATCAAAATTAATAATTTCTACTTCTCTATGAGCCTTAGGTCAATAATTCCATTTCTTGTTCATTTTATCAATAATATAAATATTATGATTTTCATTAGTTTTATATGACACCAATAATTTATACATAAACAAAAATTTGAATATCGAATTATCTGATGAGGGGGTTTTAGGTCCAAAATATTTCTTAAGTAGATGAAAATGTGTAAATTAAGATCCAACAGTTATATTGGTTTAAGATTTTCAGGTATTGTTTTTAAAAATAGGTCCGAAATATGTATTAAAAATAAACTTCAAATCTATGTATTTTACTTCAAAATGTGTGATTCTTAATTATAATTATTCATAAAAATAAAAGTAAATGTTTTTAAAACATGTGATATTTAAATTATAATTAGTCAAGAATCATTTATAGAAATAAAAGTAATGATTTAAAAGTTATAACATGTTTTGTATAAAGTAAATTGATAATTTAATTTTGGACATAATTGCGTGTAATTTTAACAGGTTAGGGGGGGGTACATTTTTCCCCTTTCGAATAAAACCTACCGAGAAAGCAAAGCAACCACTGCGCGCATGCCATGTAGCACAAATACAAAGCATTCTGAAACAACAAAAAACACGAAAAAATTACGTGAATATTAAAATAAGATGGCAAATAAAATCTTTTATATTTGGATAAAATTGACGTGAAAATCAATACCGTGAAGGCGAGCTAATACATATTCCTAAAAAAATTAGTCCCATGTTTATTTGATTATTTCCTGAAAACTGAAAAGAAATTAGGCCCTAATTTATTTCCTCAATGTTTACCGTGTGTGAGTTAATTTTTATATATAAATGATATCACATCATTTAGATATGAGGTAAAATGATAAAACAATCACTGGCAACGGTCGACCCTCGAACCAGACTTAGAGTTAATCAGCTCCAGAGAAGCAATATAACTCGTTGATTCTTGACTGAGCGCAAATGAGACAAACATGGTTAAAGTAGTCCTCCCACCACCTAAATCCAAACTCACAGTCTTACGGGAATAGAAAAACAAAACTGGAAACAATCGGTATGATCAAAGAAATTAAAAAGCAAAAAGACAATAAAATAAAAATCTTGCTCCATCCTCCGGAGCACCACCACCTTCCACATTCCCATCCATCCGATCGGCTTTTGATGATCCGGTGGGCCTAATGATCGGAACCCACTGTCTCCCTGTTTTTTTGGCTTGTCTAGAGCCATGTTATCACCAATTGGGTCCTCCTCTTCTTGAACCTCCCAAACAAGGCGGGCCCGGTATCCAACGCCCACCTCCCTTCCATTTTTTTTGCTCTTTCAGCATCATGTTTTCATCTTCCTGGCCTCCCTCCGCCTGCTTCTACTCCATCATCATCGGTTGATTCTGACGCTCTATACCACCAGAGAAGCCATCAATCTTTAGTAAGAAATTACAATTCCTTTGAAGATTGTCGAATTCGCTTGCAAAATCGGCCAAAACAGCCGCAACCCTTCCCCACGCAGATACACGAGACACGAGATCCTTGATGTTCACAAATCCTTCACACCAAATACCACAAAACTCAGATCTACTTCTAAATTTGTTGTTTTGCTATGAAGATTATGCCTCAAATTGGGTTTGAAGGAAAAACGAAAAGTCGCACGATTGGAATCGGAAAGAAAACCCTACGTACGAGGGACTTTCTGCAACAGAATTATGGATTGCCCAAAACCAAAGGGTTGACCACAAATACTCTACATAATGAACATACCAATTCAAAAAGAAATAATTTCAAAAATAAGTCTCCCATGTTTTGATTAGTAAAAAAATAGGGCCTATTGAGATAACTTAATATGCTAACTAATTCAGGCTGTATATAACAAGTTAGTTAGAGTTAGTTAGAGACCCCCTGTATATATAAAACAGATAATTCGTCATTTGCAGATAGATGATCAATGAATAACATTTTCTATGATTCTTCAAGATTACTTTCTTCTTTATTATTTTGCCTAGACTCCATTGTTGCAGGTCTCATGTAAGATTCAGCAATGGAGATAACATTGCACATGGTATCAGTCGCGTAAGGTCTAAGATCCTGACGATTTCCATAAGCTTCCGAATACTATTCTTCTCCAATTCATCATGCCTACTTCAGATCAAAATTCACAGAATTATGAATTCCTGAATGATCCGCTTTATCTTTCTCCATCAGATCAACCTAATTTGCTCTTGATCAGTACGAAGCTGACAGATCAAAATTACATCTATTGGAAACGTGAAGCCTATCTCGCGCTCATATCAAAAAACAAGGATGGTTTTGTTGATGGAACTGTTGCTAGACCTGACAAAAAGGACAAAACATATCATCAGTGGATTAGATGCGATATCATTGTTACAAGCTGGATGAAGAACTCGATTGAACAAAATATCAAAGAAACTGTCAATTATATCTCTTCTGCGAGAGACCTCTGGAAAGAGCTACATGAAAGGTATGGTCAGACCAATGCTCTTGAAATATATCAACTCAGAAAAGATTTAAGCTCCATTTCTCAAGAAAATAAACCACTAATTGAATATTATGGCCAAATGAAACGAACTTGGGAAAGTATTGATACTTTAGATCCTATTCCTTTGTGTACTTGTGGTGCGCTTGATGAATGTACATGTTCATTGTTGAAAAGACTGCTTGAAAGAGAAAACAATGGTAAACTCATACAAATGCTGATGGGACTTAATAGTGGATATGAGAATGTTAAAACACATGTTCCATCTATCCATGGATCCTCTACCTCTTGTCAACAAGGCCTTAGGTCTATTACAGAAAATTGAACGCCAAAAACAGATTTCTGATGCTGTGGATGTTTTATCTGAAGCAAATGCCTATGCGGCTAAACAATCTGATTATAGGCAAAATGATTGGAAGAAACCTAGATACAATTCTGAAAATGAGTTCAAAGGTTCCAAACAATGTTCCTATTGTCACCAAAAAGGACATATTCAAGAGGATTGCTATAAACTACAAGACTGCTCATATTGTGGCAAACGAGGACATATCAAAGATATCTGCTACACTTACAAAAGACATCAAGAAAATAATCTAATTTCTGGCCAAAGTTATAAGTCTGGCAAAACCAATAACAATCAAAGAAACTCTGATTTTAGAAGAGCTGCAAATGCTGATGTTTTACAGTATGAAGAGGAAGAAGAACTTACTCCACTTGAAGAAACCTCTGATTTCATGGAAGAAAGAACTACACGCCAGAAATGTTTTACCTCTACTGATGATATACATCATCATGACTTGGATCCACAAATGATGAAAGGTATTGTCAACAATGTTGTTCAGCAAGTACTCAAGGCTATGACAGATCAGAATTCTTCAATCACCAAATTTCCTACTATGGCCTCTACTTCATCAGCAAATTTTGCAGGTACAATCATTTGCCATAAAGCTTACTTAGCTGTGAATAAAAATAATCCTAAAGACTGGATTGTAGATACAGGTGCTTCAGATCACATGACTTCACAGGCTGACAAATTATATGATGTTCGAACTCTTTCAAAACCTATTTTAGTAGGTTTACCAGATGGCACAACTAAAACTGTGACTCAAATTGGAAAAATAAAGATCAATGCTGCTATTACCCTAACAAACGTTCTGATTGTCCCTGATTTTCAGCAAAATTTGTTATCTGTTGGGCGAGTTGTTGAAACATCAAACATACATGTCATTTTTACATCTACTGAATGTATTTTCCAGGACCGTTCAAATAATGAAGTGTTAGCTACAGCTCGGAGATCTGGTGATCTTTATTGGCTCAGACAGTTTGTTAGTTTTGGTTCTATATCTCACAGGATACCTACTCATAGCATGTGTTTAGATATAAATAAATGTAGTAACAATTCTACTGTTTCCAATAATTCTTGTAACTACTCAAAGGAAGTTAGCTTGTTACATGCTAGACTAGGCCATACCTCTAGTGACAAATTGAGACATGTTCTGGGAACAAGTTCTCCTGAAATCAAGAAGTTCTTTTGTGAAACATGTATGCTTGCTAAACATCACATGTTACCATTCAATAAAAGTATTTCTCATGCTCCATGTATTTTTCATCTTGTACATATGGATCTATGAGGTCCTTACAAAGTTTCTGCCATAAATGGAGCCAAATACTTCCTCACAGTTTTGGATGATCATTCTAGATGCACCTGGACCTTCTTAATTCAGAACAAACAACAAGTGCCTTCCTTGATTAGAGATTTTACTGCTTATGTTGAAAATCAGTTTTCAACTACTATCAAATTCATAAGAACAGACAATGGGACAGAATTCTTTCAACAACAATGTTCTGAATTTTTTAAAGCAAAAGGCATTGTTCATCAAAGAAGTGTAGCAGGAAGGCCCCAACAGAATGGCAGAGTGGAAAGAAAACACAGACATCTAGTTGAAACAGCCAGGGCACTAAAAGTCCATTTTGGGGTCTCAGCAAAATTTTGGGGAGATTGTATCCTAACTGCCACTTATCTGATAAATAAAATGCCATCTACTGTGCTAAATTGGAAAACTCCATTTGAGATATTATTCAAAGAGAAACCTACATATGATGAGCTCAGAATATTTGGCACACTATGTTATGCCAGTATGCCAATTACTCACACATACAAGTTTTCTGCAAAAGCAAGAAAGTGCGTTTTCATTGGTTATCCATATGGTCAAAAAGGATACAAGCTTTATGACCTAAATTCTCATCAAGTTCTGGTCAGCAGAGATGTTGTATTCAAAGAAGAAATATTTCCCTTTAAAACTTCATCATCCAATCTGAATGACACATCTACGGATCACATGGTTGATCCTGTATCTTCTCAACAGATTGTTTACTCTAATACACATCCTACTGGTTCTATCACAGAAATTCCAGATGTTTCAATTCATGGAATGTCAGAATCCACAAATTATTCTGTCCAACCTGATATTACCCTCAGAAAATCCACCAGACAAAAACATCTATCAGTAAAACTTCAAGATTATCATTGTCCCATGAAACTACCAGTTCAACATTCTACAACATCTTCATCATTTCATGTCCAACTTATTCAAGAATTAAAGGATTTTGATTCAGAATATGTTTCTTCCTTAGCAAATGTGATAACTGAGTTTGAACCCCATTCTTATCAACAAGCAGCTACTGATGAAAGATGGAATCTAGCAATGAAAAAGGAGTTACAAGCTCTAGAAGATAATGGTACATGGGAACTTACTTCTTTACCTCCAGGGAAAAGGACTATTGACTCTAAATGGGTCTACAAGATTAAATTCAAACCAGATGGCTCAGTTGAAAGATTTAAAGCCAGGCTAGTTGCTAAAGGTTTTAGACAGGTCAAAGACAAGGATTACAAGCACACTTTTTCACCAGTTGCTAAGTTCACCACTGTCAGGACTTTAATAGCATTGGCATCATCCAAACACTGGTCATTACACCAATTGGATATTAACAATGCTTTCTTACATGGTTTTATAGAAGAAGAAGTTTATATGAAGCCTCCTCAAGGATATACACAAGCTGATTCTGGTCAAGTTTGCAAACTAAAAAGATCATTATATGGTCTTAAACAAGCCTCAAGACAATGGAATGTTGAAATCACCAAGTATCTTAAGAGCCTTGATTTTGTTCAGTCCAAACAGGATTATTCTCTATTCACTAGATACAAAGATCAGTCTCATACATTCTTGATTATCTTAATCTATGTTGATGATCTTCTAATTACTGGAAATTGTCCTCAAGAGATTCAAGAACTAAAACAAGGACTAGATACTACATTTACTATTAAAGATCTTGGTGAAGCTAGATATTTTTTGGGAATTGAAATTGCTAGAAACCAAACTGGTATTCTATTGAATCAGAGGAAATACATAGTTGATATTCTCAAAGATCTGAAAATGGAAAATTGCCATGAAACTGAATTTCCTTTACCCAGAGGTTTGAAATGGAGCATTGATCAAGGTGATTTGATGGAACAGCCTGAAGTTTTTAGAAGAATCATTGGCAGATTACTCTATCTTAATGTCACAAGACCTGATATTTCATATTCAGTTCAACATCTTAGTCAATTCCTTTCTCAACCTAGATTACCACATTTTCAAGCTGCTCTTCATGTTGTGAAATATCTAAAAGGAACTATCAATGTTGGATTGTTCTATCCTGCTGCTTCTACAATGAAATTAACAGCATTTACAGATGCTGATTGGGGGCAATGTCAATTCTCATGTAGATCTCTTAGTGGTTATTGCATTTTCCTGGGAGATTCTTTAGTTTCTTGGAAAACAAAGAAGCAGAAAACAGTAAGCAAGAGTACTGCAGAGTCTGAATACAGAAGTATGTCTTATACAGCTAGTGAAATGGTTTGGTTACATGAGCTTCTTAAAGATCTCAGGATTCATATATCATTACCTATTCCACTTCATTGTGATAATAAAGCAGCTCAATACATTGCAGCAAATCCTGTGTTTCATGATAAAACCAAGCATTTGAAGATTGATTGTCATTATGTACGAGATAAGTTGCTGGAAGGTTTTCTTACAACTCAACATATATCTTCTCATATGCAGATTGCAGACATCATGACCAAACCACTGGGAGCTCAACAACATAAAATCCTTTCTTCCAAGCTTGGGCTTCAGTTTTTCCCACCCTGAATCCAGCTTGAGGGGGGGATATTGAGATAACTTAATATGCTAACTAATTCAGGCTGTATATAACAAGTTAGTTAGAGTTAGTTAGAGACCCCCTGTATATATAAAACAGATAATTCGTCATTTGCAGATAGATGATCAATGAATAACATTTTCTATGATTCTTCAAGATTACTTTCTTCTTTATTATTTTGCCTAGACTCCATTGTTGCAGGTCTCATGTAAGATTCAGCAATGGAGATAACATTGCACAGGGCCTAATCGGGTTTTGGACATAAAAACACTAAAAGTGGCGTCAAATATCTGAAACGGCCTCAACCTTATTTTGTTTCTCTACATCGGCCGAGCATGTCCATCTACCTTGCGGCCAACTCTGCTACGTCTCTCTCGCTACACAGAAATCTAGAGACAGTGTTGGCACAACGAAGGCAACGACACGAAGATGGCTACAAAACTCTTAAGCGATGAACCGAGCTTCAGTGATGGGGTGAGCCATTCACAGCGTCTCCAACCTCAATGAGCAACTCTTTTTCCTCCTCTAGTTTTGATTCGATGTGGCAGCGGTTCGATTTCATATTTGCGACAAAGTCAAACAACGAAGGTGGTGTGAAGTGCAACGATTAGGGTTTCGGGGTCGAGGATGGGGCAGGGAGCGGGTGGGTTGGGGCTATGGGAGGTGGAGAGGGGGGTTGGGGGAGCCGAAGAGAGGGTTGGGTGAAGCAGAGAAGGGGGGTCAGGTAGGGGCTGGGTTGAGGCAGGGGAGGTGGCTCGGAGAGATTGGAAAGAGGGATTGGGGGTTGCAGGGGGCTAGGGATCGGAGGGTCACCAACGAGCGGAGTTGGTCACCGCCAGAGTGGCGGTGACTATCACTACCATGGAGGTTGGGGAGGTTGGCTACCATAGAGGGGCAGCATAGGGTGGTCACTGACGTGGTGGTTGGGCAGTGTAGGACAGCGTCGAGCCACCAGTGGCAGTGGACAGCGGCGGCGGTCGATGGCATTGGTAGGCGGTGAGTATTGGCCATTAGTAGACTGGTTAAGTAATTGTAACTGGACGGATTGAGTAATTGCAATTGGATGGGTCGGGTAATTGTAACTGACCGGTTCCGATAACTCTAATTAGTCGGGTCACATGACTCTAACTAGGTGGGTTGTGTAACTCTAACTGAGAAGGATATAAAAGTCACAAAGATCTCTTTTTGGAAATATTTAAAAGTGGTCCCATTTTGGTCCATGAGTTTCTACCTACTAATATTCATTACCTACCCCATTTAAAAATGAAGGGATATTTTTTATTTTAAAGTAGTTGCCCATAATACGAGTAAAACATATTTGACACTTTAAATAAGTATGAATGATTTTATTTGGACTAATCATGTTAACACTAAATAGGACTAATCATTAACCTTCTACTACTAATACCCTTTATATAATTAATTGCCACTTAATTCCCTTGCAAAGCCGGGACAGTCCGCTGGTGGTGATGGTAGTAGTGACAGATGAATTCTAGAGATTCTCGACAGCGCCAGATTTCAGCGGCGACAGAACAGATTTGACTGATTTCTGGCGATGCCTATGTCGGCTGCAGTGTAGTGGCTGGCCCAAACCGTGCAGGAGTATCCTTATCCAACCATGAAAAATACTCTTATGTTGGAAATTTTAAAACCTCACTCCAGTTTTTGCAATACTCCCATGTTTTTGCAACTTATTTCATTATATATAATATTTTTCTATAATGGGGTTTTACATGTAGCTTTATTCTATTTCACACTTTAAATAAGTATGAATGATTTTATTTGGACTGTTTTCGGTTTTGAATCAGACCAAACCAAATCTAAAGAGTTTAGATCTGACCAAACCAGACCTAAACAGATCAAATCAGACCATATCAGACTTTTATAGTTATAAAATACACAGAGACCAAACATTTACCATACCAGACTAGTACAAACCTTACTAGACTTAAATAGATCAAACAAGATTAGAACAATCAGACTAGACCAACAAATTTCAATCCAATCAAAAACATGCTAAAATTTACCGCTAAAACATACGGAGATATAGACTCGTGACAGAGCGGCTCATAAGTCATGGTGTCTCGTAATAGACGGTATCCGCCATTTCTTCCGATAATAAAAGGATGACATCTCATCCATGAGGGCCCCCCAACACTGACCAGACACTTAGACGGGAGGATGTAAATTAGACTTTAATTACAAGCTGACAGATAGATAGTGGGGCTCTAGCATTTGTACTTGCAAAGATCCTATGCATTTTAGCATAATAACCTTTTTTCGCATATTCGCCTATGGTTTTCTTTCTCATTAAAAAATATTAACGCAATTACTTTTACATCCTACTTTTTATAACCTTTATATCTATTCGTGTATATATTTATATACTTTTTTGAATGTCCTATAACTTTAATTTATTGTTTTTTACTTTAACTTTAGTTTATTGTTAAAGTCTTAAAAACTATGGAGTAATGAACAAGTAAACATAATTAGAGCATCTTTAATGATATCATGGATTGTTTATAATGCATTGCCACATCATATTGAGGATGAATTTATGTCTCCGACAAAATATGAACTCCGGCTGTGGTGCTGACTTGGAATGAAAATAAATAGACATTGTCTACCTCCCCTTCTATATGTAGAGGACGGGTCTCACATGCTGACTCAACCAAACATTAATTTCAATGTTTTTTTTTGCCGCAAATGTTACTTCCATTCCGCTGATGCAACACCGGAGTGTAGCCTTCAGTAGTAACCCACCGTCAGAACTAATGCCCAATATCTATCTAGCCTTGAAATAATAAAGTAAATGTTTTTATCTAGAAAACGTATGCAATAAAGATGAGGAATTGAGGGCTGCATCGGAGAGCCTATATGATTTTCATGGTCTATCCGTCCACGTCATCTTCACAGGCTATGTATATAAATGACATGTCCATTTTTAAGGGGTGCAATTCACATCCCTACTGGAGATGGTCTTACATAACTATGTGGGTGTTTGGATTTGATTCTTAAAACTGCTTCTGCTCCTTCAGGGAGCAGAAGCAGAAGTTGGAGTGTTTGGGTAAAAGTGTAGAAGTGATTCTAGTGCTCTAATTTACTCCGAGAATCAGTTTTTTAGAAGCTGGAGGTGACCAGCTTCAGAAAACTGATTCTGATTCTGCTTCTGCTTTAAAAAAGATGCAGAATCAGAACCAGTTTCAAACACCCTCTATATTGACTATAACGTCGTCAGGCTTGGTCTCATCAAACATTGAGTTTTTTTTGTTTTTATTTACTCCGGGGGGTCTGGGGGAGGGGGCTGGAGTAATCAGGGCTGAAATTAAACTCACTCCATTGAGTTTCAAACTCTTTATGTGCCTAGCGGATTTCGAACTCGACACATCTCACTAGGCATGGTAACCTCGCAACCAGCTGAGCTAGAATGCTTGGTTATATTGAGGTAATCATAACATGAATTCAAGAACGTAGTATAATGTAAATTTTTTATTAAGCTTTAGTTCAAGTGTATAATAAACTAAAAAAAGTCTCTCTCTATTAGCATAATTAATTCTATTTTTGAGTCATCAAACCTATTAATCATTTTTTATCAAAAACATAACATTTACATCGCACGCTACATTATATAACAATAAAATAAGTAAATTTAAAATTACTTTTATGATTGAATTTAGTTAGTTTAGGGGCATTTTTTCATGTATATTTATTTTCTATTGATACTTTTATTTATGGTGTGATTTTTTCCCATCATATACGTTCACGTAACAGAGTAGATCTAGTGTATATATATTGCCGATTGCTGTAATATTATGAGAAAATGTACGAATACACCCACCATGCCAACTAACTGCAATTGATAAAATGCCCCTAAAGTTAAAAAAGATGTAGAAATATCTTTAAAATTTATATTTAGGAGCAAATTTAAACTTATTGACTTTATATAAATAATAAAAAATTTAAAAAAACAAAAAATAAATTAATGAATAAATTGAGTTTCAAAATTTAAAATTAAAAAAATTAAAAAACCATTTTGTGTTCAATGCATGATTCCTTAAAATTTATTATTATTAAGATAAAAGGAAGCATCGAGTACAAATTGATTTTTAAATTTTTTATTTTTCAACACATTTTTGAATACTTCAAGGTAAAAATCATAAATATATGTTAAAGTTTTGAAATATTTCTTTTATGTTAGCAATATTAAATTGATATAAAATTTTTTAAAGGGAAGCATTGAACAAAAAATGGATTTTTTTACATTTTTCAATCTCCGAACAATATATTCATGATTTTTTACATTTTTAATATATTGTTTTATTTACTTAAAATATATAAGGGTAAATTTGCTCGTAAACATGAACTTTAGGGATTTGTTTGAACCTATTAAAACATTAGGGGTGTATATATGCACCTCAAGCTAAAGATCAATGATATATTTGTACCATTTCCCTTATTTATTTGAAGTCAGTTAGGGTAAATTTATTCCTAAATATAAATTTTAATGAACTTTTAGCACCTTTCTAAACATTAGAGGCATATCTGCACCTGTAAGTAAACATGGATCGGAGGGTATTTTCGTAACTTTCCCTTATTATTATAGAATAGATTGAGGAATTTATCTCTGAAATTTCTCTTTAAATATTACTGATATACTTCGTATGAGTTATGGTTAAAAATAATAATGCGTACTATAAGTGTTATGCATAGTCACTATAATATAGAATTGAATACAATCATATCATGATCATTAAAATTTATATGATAATCATTAAAGTATAAAATTAAAAAAGATTTTTTAGAAATTTCTTTTGTTTCGATCTTATGTTCAACGTTATTTCTTTAACTTTCCTATTTTCAGTATTTTGTAAAAAACAAAGTCTTACCAGCTACAATTGATAAGGTACATACTTCGTATAAGATATAATAATGGCTGGCAAAAAAAAATGACAATAATAATCTCATCAATTTTCTTATAATAACAATGTCCGATTTACACAATTACACCTCATTTTCTTTTGATTTGTGACATTTTATTTCAAATTTTTTACCTTTTTTTTAAAACACATTAAATAAACAATCTCACATTTTACTAATCTTATCAAAATAATCTCATACTCTTCTATCTCATTTTTTAATTTTTTTTCCTCCATAGTAGTTTTCTTTATTTATTTTTATCTCTCGACACTTTTGTTTTCCTTTTTATCTTCTTATTTTTATTTCTTTCCATGTTAATAATTCCATTTCTTTCTATAGTAGGTGAGTTTTTTGTAAAATCTCCTTCCAAGATAGTCTTATTTACGTTTTTCTTCTTCTTTTTCCCGTATTTTTATTTCATTTTCTCTTTAATATATATTTTGTTATCTAATTCATTCTCTGCTTATAAAAGATCGTTTATAATAAATTTCATTATTTCACCATATTGAACTGATTTAGTGTGTTCAAAGGGGCTCTAGTGGAGCAAATTAAGGAAAAGACCTGGTTCATAAGGGAAGAGTTCATAACACCGCCGGTGGATGAAGCATTATTTGCGCCGCCGCCAATATTGTTTAACAACATGCCTGTGATAAGAAGCGTCAACTGACTGGAAACCCCCTCGCCGACCGCCGCTAAAAAGCCGATACTCATCAACAATATATCCACTCCGTCAGCAAGGCTAAAAGGATTGAAGGAGAAAAGGATTGATTTTGTCTTCCCTACAATCTTACTCTGAATATTTGTTTTCTTACTACCCATAATTGCTTTTCACCAAACAGGCCAAAAGAAAAGAAGGAATGAGAGAAAAAGAAAAATTAAAGGCAGCCAGCCAGGAAGCATATGATGGTCGTATTCTTCGATTGATTCATGTTTTCTCTTCAGTTGTGGCGTATTAATAGTTCATAATAAGATACTGTACAGTGTCACCCATTTAAAATTCATTTCAATTTTATTCCCTTTGTCCTACCAAATGATTACATTGAATAAAAATTCTACAGGATAATTTCGACTTTGTATCTCATTTTTTGGAAAATATTTAAGGTTGTACAAAAGGAAAATTTAACAAGAATAATCCAACATTTGACCGTTCTTTTCCATGATCGATCATACATTTAGGTTATTTCAGAATAACCATGCCTTTGAACTACATTTTCTTTCATTGAATCCTGATCAGTTAATGATTTACTACTTTCGTCCCACTAAGATTAAGACAAAAGAATGTGTCACGATTATTAAGAAAAGTGAGTTTTTGTTGTTGATATTAAATTGATGAAGTAATAATAAAGTAAAAAATGATTTAGAGCCACACAAACTTTACCAAATTTGGTATGGGACAATCTTATTTCTCGAAAAGGTAAAATGGGACAATCTTAGCGGGACGGAGGGAGTACTATATTAGGTTTTCTACTTTTTCTTGAAAACCTAAAATAAATAATCTCAATTTTCAAAATTTGTTCAAAACAGTCTCGTGTTTCATTTTTTCTTTTTTCCATATGAAACTTTTCTCTCTATTTTTATCACTAGACACATTTCCCCCCTTTTCCCATCCTTTGATTCTTACTCCCTCCGTTCTCTAATACTTGGTCCTCTTTCCATTTTGGGATGTTCTCTATTAGTTGTCTCTCTTTCCATTTTTGGTAAGTTTTTTCAATAAATATACTCATTTATCCTCATTCTCTTTCCTACTCTTTCATTCTCTTTCATACTTTTACCTTTACACACAACTCACTACACCTTTTATTCTACCCCTATTAACTCTTTCTTAAATCTTGTGTCAAAGGCTATACTTCCATCTATTAGAGAACGGAGGGAGTATTTCTTTTTCATAATTTTTTTTTCTCACTCTATAAGGAGTGTTTTTTGTAAAATTTCCTTCCCAAATAATTTTTTTGTCATTTTCTTCTTTTTCTTGTACTTTTTTCATTCCTCTTTTTATGTGTTTGAGTTTCTCTTCTTAATCATTCTCTTTTTATTAACGATAATTTTCTCAATCTATTTTTTGTTATATTTTCTTTTTATTTTCGCTTTCCCCTTTTCCCCCTTTTACTTTTTTATGTTTTTTCTTCTTTCTTCTTGTTATCTTAATTCCATCATCAATATATTTCTTCTTCTATCGGCATTATCCTATATTTCTAAGTAAGTTTACTCATTAATTCCATCGGGAAAAGTCTATGTGATGGAAAGATTAGGGAAATATAAAATTTGAAAGAGAAATAAAACGGGAAAATGTAAGAAAGAAAAAAGTTACGTTTTCCCAAATGTTTTATTTTTCTTTAGATTTCCCAAATGTATGTTTTACTTTTTCTTTAAATTTTATTTTTGCCTAATCATTTTATCACAGAGTTTTTCCCAAAATTGATGTGATAGACTATAGATCTAGAGCGAAGTGAGAGCTAGAGAGACAAAGTGCTTGTAATTAATATTTCTAAACCTCCTACAACTATTAATAGAGGAAATGTGGGTTGGGCTATCAGGCCTTGGACCTGGGAGGCCTGATACAATAGTGGGCCTCTAATGGGCTGATTACACGAATTTATGAAGCTAAGTAAAAGTATAAATTATTGGTGATCGAAGTACTGGCCGAGGGAGGACCTGGAAGAGGATGCCTTGCCCGAGGGAGGACTTGGCCAAAGGAGGACTTGGCCGAAGGACACCGAACTATAGAGAACGCCGGTCTTCGGTCCCTAGGTTTAAAGGTTGCTCTGTGTGGGCCGCCTCATCTGGCCAAGGGAGCCATTCGAGGGTCAGGTGTCTTGTTCATGCCTTCTAAGTGTGTGGGCCATGAGGTTTGGGCCATATACTCTATCATGATGGAATTAATGTGTGAGTTTACTTAGAGAAGTACAATAATGAAGAAAGGAGAAAAAAACATATTGATAGTGAAATTGAGATAACAAGAAGGAAGAAGAAAAAAAATAACATGAAGAAAAAAGCGGGAAAATGAAAATAAAAAGAAAATATAACAAAAAATAGAGTGGAAAAAAGATCTTTGATTAAAAAATAGAGTGGAATGAGAAATAGAATAATACATATTGAAAAGAAATAGAAAAAATCCCATTAGTATTACTCTTTAAATTGTAGTGGACAAAAGTAATAACTATTGGGGACTATATAATTGTATTCAAAGTTTACATAGAAGTAACTTACATGTAAGTACTACGTATGATGTAAATTTAAATAAAATTATAGTCACTAATAGTTATAAGTAATATTTTTATCCATACTTTTTATTAGACCATTTGGAGCGGTATGGAGGCCAAAATGTCAAAATGGACCCCATTCATATGGAAACAGTGTTTTGAAATCTATTTTCATGCATTCCAGCACCGTCAATAAAATACATTTATCATATTTTTTTTACATATCAATTTAATACACATTTCGATGTAAATATAAATAAATTTCATTAATTTTTTTAACGTTTTTTGGTTAAATAAAAAATGAAATTAGTTCAAGTAAAGTTTGATTATGGATTATTCGGTTGTTGGTGAAGCTCCACGAATTTAAAAGTTGTGTTTCATGTTTTTAGGCTCAGGAAAACTTCAACGGCTAAAACATCAAAAAAATTATCATTTTTATATATTACATATTGGTGTCATATGAAAGATAATAAAAAATCATAAAATTTGATATGTTTTTTATAAACTTTGGATTAGCAATAAAAAGTTATACTACGTAATACATTTAAAAAAAATCTATGATGGACACGTACCTTCAGATTTCCCCCACTCCTACTCATCTCAACACGTCCACAATATTTTTTAGCCTTGAGAGTCAATCTTCCCTCTATATTTACCCCCATCCACCCCCCTTTTCCATTTTTACTACCCATTATAGCCTACCATTACATGGAATTAGTAGTCCAAAAATCTCATCTTTAACATTTGGACTCCTAATCCTACAGCACTCCAAATAGTCTTAGTAATATTTAAGCAAAAACCCCAAGAAAATAAGAGTAAAATGATGGGAAAAGGAATAAAAATACTTCCCATGTTCCCTTTTAATTGCAACAGTCAAATTTTCACGTTTGGCAACGCACAAGTATGACCATTAATATCTTTCATTCCCTATTAGTAAAAAAATTAAAAAGTTCATATTTTGAAAATTTAGAATGAGAAGAATTTGACAATATTTTTTAAAAATTTAATTTATAATACATTAATTAATAAAATATAGTCAAAGTGAAATATGTGACTAGTGCAAAAAGTCCAATGTTGTACTTAAAAGAGAACGTAGGTAATATCTAGATACAAATAAAGCATGAAAAAAATTAGGGAGAAAATATGTGAAAAAGAAAAAAATGAAACATGATACTATTTTGAGCAAATATGTGAAAGATGAGATTATTTATGTAAGGTTTCCATAGAAAAGGCAAAAAACCTAGTATAGTAGGTCATCAACCGGTTAGGTTTTAGCGAAAGAAGATGGAGTGAAAAAGTGGGATATTCTGGAATTACGTAAAGGTGGGATTATTATGAGAAGATTAATCAAAAGTAGGATTATTTTTGTCAATTTTCCTTTTCAAAATGATTAATATATGCACTCCAATTCATTACCGCCTCATTTGACTTTGCACCTCACTCTTTCATAATTTTCAGTTTAAAAAAATAAAAAATAAAAAACTTTAAAAAAATCATAATTTTCAGGCTGATGTGGTGAACACGTTAATAATTTTGAAAAAGGAGTGCAAAATTCAATATCATCTAAAACATTGAGTTAAAGTTCAATTCCACACTTTACTATGTTACTAATGTAGACAAAGGTAGATTGTCATTTCTAAAAATGTTTTTACTTCGACTTATTTTAATCACATAATAGGCTTAAACATATTGCACCAAATTTCGATAGTTGTAAAATACACATAGATCTGATCTGGTCTGATCCAATCTAATGTGGGGCTGAACACAATTCAAGTAAAAACATTCTACGTATGTTCTGACTCTTCCATGCTATGCAAGTCGTAACAACATGAATCCCCTCCTATGTAATCCCATGCCCGAATCTACATCATTGTTTTTAGTTGTATGTTTGGTCATTGTTCCAAAAGTTGTAATTCCAAAAGTTAAGAATCAGTCTGAATTCCCTTCCCTTGGCAGGCCTCGAAAAGAAGAGGACATAGTTGTTGTTTCAACTAATACCACAATAAGTGTTGGATGAACAACAACATTTGCGCGATACTTAACCTCAGCAATTTGGTCCAATTTCACTTTGAGAAATACTCTACCAAGGTCAACATCTAACTTTACTTTTGAGTTGTAGTATCACAGCTAATCCCCCTCGAGCCCATAAACAAAAATTAAACAAAAATGTATGCATATATGGATATGCCTAAGAATGGACTATCAATCATTCTTGGTGTACACCTTCTTATACACATCAGAACACACATGTGTCTGTGAGAGTTTTTTTTCTGTGATTCTCAGTCCACATACAAAAATCGGTTTGTTTTATCTGTGAAAAATTATACAGACAAAACAAATATATTTTTGTCTGTGGACTGGGATTCACAGACATAAAAAAACTCTCATAAATACGGGGGTGTACTGATGTGTATAAGAAAAGTGTACAAAAGTAATTTTTGATGGACTATACTTGAGCAAGAAATCAAACCGCACGAATTTGCTGTTGAGTTTATTCTCTCAAGTGCGTTCCCCTTGCTTTTTGGTGCCTACTTGGTTATCTCGTTGCTTAGAAATGAGAAGTGTCTTTTTTGAAATATTGCGTTCCCACACAAAATGCATACATATCTTCTAATGGTCCGTGTATAATTCGTTTGGAAAATACAGAAATTATTTATGTACGCGGGTCATTATGCAAAATGTACACAATATATATACACCATCTAATTGTTAGTGTACATAGGCAACTCATTTAGAAAATGACAGAAAT